ATTTCAACAGCCCTCATCATTCTGCCCGGGACATTTTGACATCACGAGACCGTTAGATCTGAGAGGTTACCCTTGTGTCTAAAAATCTCTGTTTAGTCCAACCGCCACTCTCGTGTGTTTTGGACATGAAGTGAGCTTTGAGGTTCAGAGGGCAACAACCATTTCATCTAAATGATCCCCTTGGATAGATTCCAATTCAGTGTGGACCAGCTGGTGATTTACAAAAGCCAGTGGAGATTATCAAAACGCTCTCAACACGTAAAAAAAAAAATAAATAAATAAATAAAAGAAATAAAAATAAAAAGTGCGGAGGGCAAACTTTTCATGGAAGTCCAGTGATCTGCTGATCAAATGACGATCAAATGTCCTCAATTAGAAGGCCGACAAACTTGCAAACTGGACCATCTGTTCTCTTTTGTGAGTTGGATCATTATTGGACAAGTCAAAGGATTTGGCATCGAAATCTGGCATCGCTCTATTTAGTGTCAAGGCTAACTCCTGAGCATATGATCACAATCATGTGAGAAATAGAAGATGGATGGATGATTGCATGACCATTGCATGAAGGCATATTTAGAAATGTCTGCATTCCCAAATGGAACAATTCTGATTCAGAATGGACAAACACATCATCCAAATAATTGTTCCCGAGCAACGAAACCTAACAACCACGGATATGAACATGCAGTACTCTTCTTTGAATTGAACATCACTTTAATCAGCCACTTGCATTATGCACAATGCCCCACCAGATGGAGCTGTATGACACACACACACACACACACGCACACACGCGCGCACGCACACACACACACACACACACAATAATTGTTTATTCATTTGTAAAATAAATAACCCCCCGAAAGTTGGGTCAGTCCCTTTTTGACCCAATTTTTGACCTAACTGTTTAGTGTGTGTTCTGTATGTCATCATGTAATAAGAATGACAACAAAAACACACCATATAACAGTCTGTCTTTTGCCACTTGTTTCATGTCTCGAGGAAAGATATATCCCCCCCAAACATCTGAAGAGTGTTGAAATCATGATTTGTACACCACTAGGTGGCAGGGCATCACAACACATTGTGACGGTTCGACAGAGAAACACACAAGCGGGCTGCGTCGGGTATCATACTCAGTTTGACTATGCGCCATCAGAAAAGTCACTCTGTTGATCTTGAGAGTGGCACAGCCCTGGAACAGCAAATGGAAACAGAAATTACGTTTGTGTATGCGTCTGTGTGCGGTTCCCCGCTGAGTAAATGTCATATCGACTATTAATATTGAACTTGCAAACACTTGTGCCCAAGATATGGGACGGCAGCTGTCCTGCGATAAGTGATTTAACATTACACACACACATACATTCACAAGCACACACATGCGGGCTGCTATCAAGTTGAAGCCCAGCACATTTTTTCCCCCCTAGATTGTTGCAGGATTAGAAGCAATTGAAGCACAAAGTATTCCCGACAACACTTCATCAGCCATCCTCACCTGTAATAGAGACAAATAAGCGCGTGTTGTGCCGTGTGTTCGCGTGGCCAATTTGGAAGTCGGATTGCGAAGCGGTTTCCCGTTGAGAGCCCGTGTGGCGCACATTGTTGTGTATTTCTGTTTCATGTGACACAGCCGAGGCCTCATCTTGCACCCAGTTGGTGGAAAATTAGAAGTAATGGTGATACGGCTGAGCGGTGTGTAAGATTGATTAAAGGGGCCGGACAGGGGTTCCCAGAGCGAACATGTCTTAAATAAAAGATGAGCCGACTAGTTGTGTTTTGCAAAGCCTTGGGGAAATTTAGGTCGACGACTGCCCGGGCAAAAACAAGTTGAATTCTCAAAGGGTGTTGGGAAAATGCTTTGAGAAAGCGGAATTCGCTTCACCCATGACCCGATCAGCTCGGCTTGGCAAAAGACCAGAGCCACTTTCAAATTACTACACCGTCTTAAACGTAATCACGCAGAGGTACGACCATGCAAAAGCAACAACACCCCACATGTGTATGACTTCCCTGCCAGTTTTTCAAAGTCAAAAGGTAAGCAGAGCTGCACTGACTAGTTGTTACTAAACTCGCTTCACCCATGACCCAATGAGCTCGGCTTGGCAAACGACCAGAGCCACTTTCAAGTTACTACACCGTCTTAAACGTAATCAAAATGCAAAAGCAACAACACCCCACATGCGTATGACTTCCCTGCCAGTGTTTCAAAGTCAAAAGGTAAGCAGAGCTGCACTGACTTTAGTCGGATGGCATGTACACCATAAATTCAAGTTGATGTCTACGCTACGTATCCATGTGCTGCATGAGTTGCCAAAGATCCTGACAAAAGTGTGAGAAATTTGATTCACGGGCTCCAATAGAGGAGACATAAATGTTGCATAGCTGTGACTCGGCAGTAAGAGCTCCGAGTGCCATTAGGGTCTTTTACAAGCCCCAAAGTCCCTGAGATGACACGGATCGATAGTCACACCGTCAAGGTGCTCCCACCAAAGACACCCAGTGAGACTGCGGTGTCAAACACATCCAGCAGAAATGGCTGTATGCCTCCCGCAAGCCACTCGGCTCATGTCGCAGATGCCGTTTATGAACAGATGAAACGTCGCCGCTGCACACACGACGAGAAAGGCCCCACAAATTGAGTCTGCCAAGGCATTCAAGAGAAAATGCCTCACGCTTGTGGAACTCGCAACATGAACACGGAGTCTGTAATTCTTGACACTTTTTGGTTGGAGTA